AGTTGTTGTTAAAGTTCATAGCATCTAATGTCAAGTTGTATGACCTCATATCCTCAACTGTAGAATATTCTTCTCTTGGATAATATTTGCCATCTATGTTTATATGATATTTAATACCGGGTTGTAGAAACAAGAAATAGTCATTTATAGTTCGTCTGAACAGTACAAACATAGTATCTGCATGTTTCATTGCAGTTGTTAAAGCAATATCTGTTCTTGCACCTGGGTCAGCACTTTGGTTTCCAACTTCACCTGCAAAGTCTTTGACAGATATTTGGTGTATAGGGAACATAAGTGGAACTGCAATATATTTGGCAGCTAAAGCATTTGAAATATCTGGGTCCAACATATAGACTGCAAGTCTGCTTTCTATTCTCTTGCATTCAAATTTTTCGCATGTGAACTTAACTGGGTCCCAAGCATCTCCAGCAGCATTGAAATAATAGTTTACTTCAGTGTTGAGGTTTGAGAAACCAAAGTCTAAGTCAACTTTGTCTTTGCAAAATTCGGCGAATGACGTTTTATTTGTTCCCTTTACGTCTGTAAGAGTGAATGGGTCTTGTGTTGGTGCAATGACTAAGTTATTTTTGCTTGGAGTAAGTTCAATAGAAATTTTTCCTGCCCAGTTTGGCAAGTATCTTAAAAACCTGAAGATGAGGAAAGATGACAAAGGAACTCTAAGTTTCAGTTTTTACTTTAGTGGCAGCATTTCCATCTGAACCAGAAAGGTTAACATAAACTCCTGGAACGTTAGGGTCAAGTCTTCTTATTTTCTCAATATTTGCATACTGGTCTGTTTGTTCTCTAGCTTGTGGTTGTACTGAGTTTCTCAAAGCGAACCATTCATAGTTTGCCCATGTTACTGTTTGAACTAAGTCAGAGTTAGAATATATCTTATATCCCATGAAAACTTCTGGAGCATATTGGTATCCGACATAGAAAATTCCATTGCAACCTTTCTTGTCAGACAACTTGGCAGAAGGTTTTATTTCAATGTCTTGTTCCACGTATAAGAATGAGTTGTCAATAGAAATAATATGAAACCTGTCACAAGCAATATCTACTGTTGTTGAAGAACCTTCTCCAAACTCACCTACGTTTCCATAAGAAACAGCAGTTGTATATTCGTAAGTTCCAGGAACTATTTCTGACCTTCTAATGGCATTGTCGCATTCGTTATACCATTCGGAAACATTTCCGTTCATGGCATCCAAAACTGTTGGCGTTATATTCTGAGCGGCGTACATTTCATATGGGTAAAAATATAGAATAGTTGGATTTATGTGTCATAATAGAACCCACTCGTACCAAGCTTTACTTTCTTCCTGACTGAGTTTTTAACTCTTCTTTTTCCTTCATTGCCACTACTTTCACTAGATGAAGTTACTTCTTCACTATTTTCACTTTGTTCTACTCTTCTTCTTTGGTGTCGCTTTTGGTAACTTGCCCTCTGCTTCAAGTTGTTGCATCTTTGCCTCATGTTCACCTAGTATGTTGTAAATTTCCCATGTCCTTTTTGCCTTTGGGCTCTGGTCGCCCATCTCAGGTAACCTATATCCTAGAAAGATTTTGTCATAGTTTGTATTTGAGTCTTCGCGTATTGTTTGCATGACTCTTTCCTGAGTTTCCGGTTCAAGCTCTTCAAATATAGCTTGTCCATATGGAATATGCTCGTTTCCAAATATATGTTTTTGTAGCCATTCTGGTTTTCTTTCCATGTTACCAATAATATCTTTTGTGAATGGGAAAGCTTTTACCCAATGTTTCAGTCTTGCGTCATTTATTTCTGTAGTTGGTTTTATTTTGTCAAGGAACATGTTTTTCAATACTAACATTTCATTTGGTACTGTCCATTTGAGTTTTCTTAAATATTCATCCCTTCTCGGTTCATTGTCTGCAAAGTAAGTTTTTATGACATTTTGCAAACTTTCGTTTGCAAGATCATGTACAATAGGTTCTCTTCCTTCTCTCTCCCTAACTTTCTTTCTAAACTCTTCACCAAATATACCATCTCTATGGTTCTGTGTAGTTCTTTGAGATAAATGTTCTAGAACGTCAGGTGTTATATTTCCATCAGCCATGTTCATTTCATACTGGTCCAAAATATCTGCATGTTTCATATCTTTCAATGGCATTAAAGCCGCGCTGAAAATACCAGCTACATCTGGTTCACCATTCACTTCCATTGCGTCTACAACTTCTTGGAATTGAGGTTGTAAGTTTATGAACCACCTATCCGGATTAGCTTTATGACCCCATCTCATTGTAGTTCCATCGTCTGCAGAAACAAAAGTAGGTTTGTTTCCATATTGGTTAGGTTCTGAATGAACTTTAAACAATGTTTCATTTCTATATGTTTTGGTGAAATTTAACCTTTTATTTTCACCGAGTTCAGCCAAAGATTGAACGTTATATGGTCGTAAGTAAAAAGGATTGTTGTATTTGCGTACACTTTCTTTCAGTACTTCCATTCTATGCTGAATATTTTCATCTGATGTTGGAGTCTTTTGTATGTCGGCGAACATTTTTCGATATTCTTCTACTATGTCAGCCGAATTTTTCTTAGACTCTTGGAAAGATTCCATATTCCCCGCATACACTTGTTGAGGGTCAAGATTTTTCGGCTGTTCCAAATCTTCATCTAGTTCTGTGAAGTTAGTTTCCAAAGGAGGGACTTGTTCGTTTCCTTCAGGCTCTTCTAGCTGTTGTTGCTGAACTATTTCTTCCATGTCTGGTTGTATCTGAACTTCTTCCTGTTGAGTTTCTTGTACCTCATCTGCTGGCATTTCATATATTCCGAGACCGTTTTTAACAAGTTCCCTATTTAAGTCATCCGTAGAGATGTGAAAACTTAAATTTTATAATCCCTGGGATGCACTTTCTTCGATTTTTTTTAAATTTTTGGGATAAATTTTGACATCTTTTTTTTGCTGGCGACCCCCCGTTTAGGGCATCAAAAAAACATGTTGTTTCGTTTCAAGATCGGGATATGTTGTGAACCCGACTTCTTTCATTAATGAAGTGATTTCTTAAGTTGAATAAAAACAAATTTGATTGAAATTCATACAAAATTTCTTTTTATCATTATTATTTAAGATGCTTTTTTATGTTGAATTGTTAATTTTTTTATTTCCACCTGGGATATTTTGAATTGGGCTAGCCCAATCCCACCTCTCAATTTTCTCTCAATTGGGCAATGGGGATCCCATATAAAATGTATTGTAACAAAATTTTACATGCATAATATAGTACAATTAAACAACATTCTAAAAATATTAAATTCACATCATTTACTTGAAGATTTTATATTTTCAACAAAAATTAATACAATAATTACATTAAATTGAGGAGATTTATAATATTTATTATAAATTAAAATATTATTACTCATTAATTTGTTGAAATATTGCATTTTAGTGGTAAAAATTAAAATTTAAGTTTACATGGAGAAAAAAAAATTTTAAATTCCAAAAAAAATTCAATTGGGATAACGATAGGGACAAAAATTTAGAATCCCCATATGCTTGGGATAAAATCACATGACTAGTCATCCGGACTCATAAACCTTTCTTCTTTCGTTCCGTCTCTATTTTTTACGCGTTTCATGAAGAGAGTTGAATTATCATTTAGCTCTGACATCAAATATCTCGGAGTAAATTCATTCATGTCATTTGGATGATATGCTATTAAATCATATCCCTTAGCGAGCTTGTATTTTCCAGGTTTGAAATTATATCCCATTTGGTGCTGAACCATAAAGCTAAATAGGTTCGGGTCAGTATTTCCTTCCTTGAACTTTCTAATAGCTTCTTTATATCTGTCACTAAAGTCAAGAGTATCTGGGTAACCATAATCTTCCTTAAGCATTTTTAAGAATTCTTGGTTTCCTTGTTCTCTACTTCTTTTATGTCCTTGCTCTGTTTGTGGTTGTTGTTGTGCAGGGTTTTGAACTGTTGTTTGCTGTGCAGTGTTTTGAACTGTTGGTTGCTGTGTTGGATTTTGAACTGTTGGTTGCTGTGTTGGATTTTGAACTGTTGGTTGTTGTTGTTGTGCATGCCTGTGTCTGTGTCCATGTGACGATGTAAATGTTTTAGGTAGTCCTGGTGCAGGTGCTTCTCTTGGAGGGTTTGGTGGTATATAAGTTCCACTAGCTAGTATATAAGTTCCACCAGCTGGTATATAAGTTCCACCAGCTGGCACATATGTTCCATCTGCAGCATAATGTCCTACCTGACTTTTCGTTTTTAAGAAAGCATTTACTAGGTCTGTTTTGGTCTGTTGTAACTCTTTTTCTTGACTTTCCACAACAGTTGCTCTAACGGCGTCATAGGCACTTTGAACTGCCTGTCTCGTTGCTGCATCTGTTATTTTCGTCATATTTTGTGCTACTTCTCTTAACTCGTTGTCGAAACCTTCAGACTTCAGTTTCTTTCCAGATGAGAAGTCGTTCACTAGTTTCACCTTACTATGAAGAGCTTCGAAGGCGTTCTTAAAGTCAGCATTCATTAAAGCTTCATTTGAACTGTCTTCATCCGCTTGTATTTTTGTCCTTATTGACCCTATAAGTTGGGCTGCTTTAGCGTTGGCTTGGGCATCTAACCAGTCATTATTAGCTTTTATATATTCTGCGCTTTTCATTGCCTTTTGCATGGCTGCGTCGTTATTTTTACTTTCTTGTGCTAAGTTTTCATACTGTACGGTTTGGTTTTGCAACTGTAAAAGTTTTTCTGCCTTTACATTTGCTTCAACTTCTTTTTTATACTCATCGCTATCCATATATGTCTTCATGGCTTTTTGTTTTATTTCTTCATCTTTCAGTACTTTATATTGAGTAGTATGGTTTTTCAAATTTATAACATCTTGTTCCATTTTTGCTACTTCTGCTGCTTTTTCTGACACTTTTTTTGCATATTCCTCTGTACTTAGTTCTTTCAGTTGTTCTTCTTTCTTCTTTTTCTCTACGTTTAACTCATTGAGTTTCTTTGTGTGTCTGTCATATTCTAGTTTCTTTTCGTTTTCACTTATTTGTTTCTGTATGTCTATGTTTGACTTTTTGACATCTGTTATTTGATTTTTGAGTGAACTCAAATTCATTTGACTTTGAGGGTTATAAGCTGTTCCGTCTGCAGCTCCACCATAGCCTGCCATTTTCGCTAAAAGTGCCGCTCTTAAACCTCCACTCTGTGCACCAATAACTCGGTTTAAAAGCATAGGGTTGCTTGACATTTGTTGCAACATAGTGGGGTCATTCATAATTTGTTGTTGCAACTGTTGTTGTGGTGTCAGTTTTACTATTGGATGTTTCAATGCTCCCTTCCTCTTACGTATATTCTTACGTAGCTTACGTGGCATTTTAAGTGAAGTTAAAAAGCGGTTTTTGACAGATGTTTATATGACACTTTTTGTTCAGCACAAAAAACTACTCGGTCAAAGTGTTGTCAGTTTTGTAAAATAACCGTCCTATCTTGTTTTAAAATGGAGAAAAGGCTTCTCAAAGTATACTTCCTTGGAACACCTGTAACTTTTCCTGTAGCGACGATAGACCCTTACTTGTCCGGACAAAGTTATACTAAACATCTTCAGGGCTAGAGGGCACGAAGTGCCTGGAGGCCCCACTACCTTTTTTTTTTAAATAAAAACATTTAACCAAAGTCAATTTTATTTTTCATATTCAAATGGACTGAGTGTTAACATTTAACATTTTTTGCTAATTGTCGTCAAAAATTAGGCGTAAAGCAAAAATTGATATTTCATATGGTTTTATGATAGATAAGCATTATATTCCCACTCATTATATTCGTAAATTTTGAGGTTTATCCTTCGCTTTTAAGATCATTGAATTTGATTTTTATATAAAATAGTTATATATTAGAAAATAATATGAGTTTATGTGATATTATTTTTCAGAAGATTTTGTGTTCTTCTTCAAAATTTTATTTTTTTATTAAAAAGAATCTTTACAAAATATACATTTACTTTAATTAATATTTAAAAACGTGCTCTATCAAAAGTTCCAAAAATTCAATATTTTAGCTTTTCTGATGTGTCACTTTTGATGAATTTCTGTTTACAACAGTATCAATGCTTCTCATTCAACTCCTTACGAAGTTTTCCTCAAACGAGGAAATTATCTTTTTGAATTATGGGGTGGTTCAGGAAACGATATAGTTTTATCTAACCCAATCAGGAGTGCATACGTAAGCGGCTATGTTGTATTCCGTCATTCCATTAAACTTTACCTACACGTAGGATCACAAGCTTATAAAAATGCCTCTTTTCCATCATATGGTGGAGGAGGTCCAGGCCAAATATCAGGTGGTGGCTCATCTGATATCCGACTTCTTCCAGGTGATTATGGCGACTTTTCCGGTCTTAATAGTCGAATTATTGTCTCATCGGGCGCTGGATCAAGTGACGGTTGTTACGAAACGGGTGGTCCTGGTGGTGGATTAATTGGGTATAATAGCACTGGCAACTATGGCCGAGGTGGTACGCAAATATCAGGCGGCGAAGGAGGTATTAAAGGAAGATTTGGTTTCGGTGCCGGAAATGAATCTCGACGATATGATGGTCATACACCGGATGGCAATGCAGGAGGTGGTGGGGGCTATTTTGGCGGTGGAGGTTAGTATACATATCATGTGTACGGAGGCACTGCGCGCCTCCTTACCCATGATATGTGAATTTGACACTTTACGAAACCGTTAACGTATATTTTTACAACACAAACGACAACACTAACTTAACCTTAAATATTTACAAAGCCACCAACCACTTCACCTCACTAACGTTTTCACAAACGACTTCACTACTGTAAAAAATAAACGTTCTCACTTACAAAAGTATTGCAACTCCTCCCATTGCTGTGCTTCACACAATACTTCATATTCTTCAGTATCGCTGCTGTCGCTCCAATCGTCAGAGTCAAAATCACTGTCAAAATAAATGTTAGTAAGTTTTGACAAAGCTAATGAAACACGCTTACCGTTTGTATCGTATGCTTGTATAAACTTTCCATTCTTCATTCCTTCATAAACGCTCAAACTAACTTTACCCTTTCTCCCTCGTATCTGATAGAATGTATTTTCACGAGGAACGAAGAACAAATTCTTGAACTCATGACCGTTGTAGTTTGTTATCTCAATAGTTTTCGTCATTACATCCAAATAAAAATTTTCAGTAAAAATAAAACTAATGAAATATTTTATTCCTCACTGTCGTCTGCTTTCTCCAACTCTTCTAGCTTCTTCCTAAGTTCAGCAATGTTGTCCTCATGAAGTTTAATCTTTCTCAAAATTCCTTCTTTATCTAATGGTTGCTTTATCTTTCTAAACTGAACTCTACCATCCTTCATAGTATGAATGTAAAAACCTTCTGGAATAGTTCCTGATTTAATGTATTCTACCAAAAACTTTTGTTTCATTGCTTCAGTGACTTTAGTCGTCATTTTACTCTAAGGTGAAGCTAGCACAGCGATAATGGATTTCATGACTTTTAGTATTTCATGCAATCTTAACAGATAGCCTTACAAGTACTTCCAGTGTCCCTAGCTGTCCCTCCTTTTTATATAACTCCATGACATTTATAATCTCGCGAAACTTAACAGGTAGCATAACAGATTAAAATCAGATGAGGTTTTGAACCAAAATTTCTAAGCAACGTTGTCAAGGATTTTGAGGAACTAGGGACAGAGTGTGGCAAAGTCCAAGATTTAATTTATCTTCATCTGTTTCATCAGCTATCTCATCTAATATGCCAATATTTTATTCATAACTCGTGGCAAACTCACTAACTTTCATTATGTTCATCTGCATGCTTCATCTGATAGAAAGTATGACTTTCATTAACTCTGTGAGATAATGAAAACTACTAGGGACAGAGACCATGGCAAAGTTTATGACTTTCATTATTTCCAGAACTTAATGAAAACTACTAGGGACAGAGACCATGGCAAAGTTCATGATTTAATTTATTCTCTCACTAACAACAAATACAAAACTCCAACACTAACGACAAAAATAAATGTCCTCACTTCTTAACAAAGTAATATGTGCTTCTTACACCACCATAGCTCAAACGTTTCTTTTCAAACATCGATTGAAACTTATTTTGAGCCATTGGCTTTAGTCTCTTTTTCTTCAAATACGCCAAGAAATCTTCTTCACATCTTTTCACTTCATAGCCTTCTTTAAACTCCTCCTTGTTAAGTTCTATGAAATCCTTTATCTCATTCTTTGTTGCAATGGCTTCTTCACGAACGACATCGTGAACTATTTCATCATTGCATTCATGTATGACCTCCTTACTGTTCTCATGAACTATTTCAACACTGTTCTCATGTATGACCTCCTCACTGTTCTCATGAACTATTTCATCATTGCATTCATGTATGACCTCCTCACTGTTCTCATGAACTATTTCATCATTGCATTCATGTATGACCTCCTCACTGTTCTCATGAACTATTTCATCATTGCATTCATGTATGACCTCCTCACTGTTCTCATGAACTATTTCATTATTGCATTCATGTATGACTCCACTGTTCTCATGAACTATTTCATCATTGCATTCATGTATGACCTCCTCACTGTTCTCATGAACTATTTCATATTGCATTCATGAACGACCTCCTTACTGTCTTTCATAAGCGTTTCAAAGTCTCCTTTACTCATTACTTCAATCTCATGCTGTTCACAGTAGTACTTAAACTCACTGTATATGTCTTTGTTGTATGTTATATTGCTTCCCATGTACTCCATGAATTTTTCAAGCACTTCCTCATAATTCACTGTTTCTTTCTTTCCACGACCTTCTAATATCATACTTGCTTCGTAAATATAACTTCTTGCAGAACCGTCTCGCTTTCTACTTCTCTTCACAAATTCTCTCATCTTGCCACAAATACATTTGAACTACATGCAAAGAATTCATTCTCCTTCGCAAATTCTTTATATCTTCTGTAGCACTCTGTACAATTCCATCCGGATACAAACTTTTCATAGAACTCCTCGTAAAACATTTGGTAAGGTGTTTTGTTCATTTCGATGAGTTCTTGTTTAGCCCTGGTGAATGGTATCTTCCTTACATCAAATTCACTTAAATCTTTCTTCATGAAGTACGTCAGTAAGTTTGAATAAAACTCTTCATTAAAGCTTTCAATGAGATTTGAGAAATATTCGTAATTTCCTTTGTATCTGCTGCTTACGTCAATGACAACAAATCTTCTGTCGTCTTTGTCAATCTTTACTGAGTTGAAGTTGTTAGATATCATGATGATATTACAAACATTCTCTATCTTTCTTACTGGCTGACACTTCTGATTTAAGTCCAACTGAGTCTCTGTTACTATTGACTTTAGTGCGTCGTGGTTCATGACCTTAGACGTATCGCATGAGCTTAGTTCATTGCATACGATGAGCTTCATGTTCTCAATAGCAGCATTGAATCTACCAACCACATTCTCTATTGCCGTTATATTATTGTTGGCGTACTTGCTAATGAGCTCGCATAGAACATTACTAAGTACATTCTTACCAGTTCCTTGCTTTCCTATTAACAAAAGTACTGTTCCAGTCTTTCCACAAGGATTTTGAACGATGTAGGCGAACCAGTTCAAAACATACTCATAAAGCTCTTCATCCTCATTACATATGACATCGTGAACATGTTTCAAATATCCTTCAATAACGTTCTCATCTACTTCATTCAGTACCTCATACTCATATCCTCTGAAATAGCTGTAAATGTCATCTCTTTCGTCAAAGAATCTCATGCCTGACTTCATAAGATAGTTCTTGTTCTGACCCGCTTCATAAATCATCAGTGCGTTCACATCCTTCTCCTCAATACGTCCTACATAAATACTCTTCATGAGCTTATTGAATTCCTTGCTATCTACTGACACAAGTGTTGTTGTGTCTCGTATTCCATCATAATCTTTCACTAGATATGTCATACGTGCTCCGTCAATAACAACAACACATCTTCTTAAGTCATTTATAACACTAGCTATGTCAATACCGTCCTCACTCATGTACTTATTTTTCCTCAAGTCCTTTAGTGTGAAAGTGTCTCTAAGTTCTATTTCAAGCAATTCATTTACACATCCTTTGCAATACTTCTCTATAAAATATTTCTGTCGTTCTTTACTAAGTTTCTTAACAGCTCTGAAGAACCATGTGTTTTGACTCAAACATCCTTCACAACTTCTCTCATTCATTCCTAGTTCTTTCATGTCATTATCTTCAACCTCTATGGTCTCATTGACTAAGGTCAAAGGGTTCTTAGTCATTGCTGGTCTTATCTGAAACAATGTTTGTGCAACAGGTTTAACTAGTTCAGCAACGTCCTTCCTTAATATGAATAGCTGTTTCCACTCATCTTTGCTAACAGTTCTTTCATAACCACTGACAGTAATGATTTCATTTGCTGACCTTAGACACTTATGTTCTATCATTTGTATTGCTTTTGTGTAAGGCTTTCGTGAGCATAGGTTGTATATGTCATTCCTGCAATGTTCATTCATGCCAATAGTACTAAATCCTTTCTTTGCTGTTGAGTGCATAATATCCATTAGTTCCTGTGTTCGTATTGCTGTCTCATAAAATACAACAAGACCTTTGTCATCTATGACGTACTTACCGAAAACATTGCTTATATTCTTTAACCATGAAATAACATCCTCATTCATGCTGTCAAACATGAAGTAAGGTCTTACATACTCTTCACTTATAAGATACTCCACAAAGTACTTGTTAAGCTCTATGTCCTCGTGAGCGATTTCATTAGGTTTGATATTAGTTCCTTTTGTCATTGCTGTCATGTACTTCACTCTCATAGTTCCTTTCAATAGCGTAAAAATACTTCATTGTTTCATAACTGCTCTAAATTCTGTTCAAAATTCGTACAACATAACTTTTTAACATTAGTGAAAGAACATGAGCGAAACAACAACATCTAACATTACAGAAGAAGTCAATGACAATGCCGATGAAAACATTACAGAAGGAGCTAGTGAAAATATTGACGAGTTCAGTGAGGAAGAAGATATTGAGGACGTCAATGAGAACGTTAGTGGGGAACAAACTCAATGGGAAACATTGAGAAATCATGAAGATTATGAGATTTGTACGACATATCCTTTTACTATTCGTCGAAAGAAAAACAAACATATTAAGAGTGAATGCTTAAATAATCATGGTTATATTGAGCTTAGTTTAAACAACAAAACACATTTAAAGCATAGAATTATTGCAGAACAGTGGATTGAAAATCCAAACAATTTGAAAGAAATAGACCATATAAATCATGATAGAACGGACAACAGAATCTCAAACCTTCGTTGGTGTTCTAAATCTGAAAACAATAGAAATAAAAGCAAGTATGGCGATATAGTTTATGAGTTCGTTGATGAAATATCTGACGAAGCTGTTGAAATAACAGATTATGGTAAGCATTCGTTTGAGTTCTACTACTATGTTGAGAATGAGGACGCATTCTATTATTATACAGGTCTTAACTATCGAAAACTTCATATAAACTTTACAAAAACAGGTGCTGCTTATGTTTGTATGATAGATACAGAAAAAAGAGAGTAATCTTATGCATAAACAAATTCAAACGCTTGTACGGCTTCATGTAGGACAAACATTATTTTTCAACACTAACGCCAACACGTAGGACAAACATTCATGACTAACATTACTGTATAACATAAATGTTTTGTCATGATTTCATCGTAAATGTTTTGTCATGATTTCATCGTAAATGATTTGTCAAACATGAACGTATATGTTTTGTCATGATTTCATCGTAATGAGTGTAAATGACCCAAAAATAATGTTTATGTTAGAATGTTAGATCTAACCTCATTTCTACCCTCTTTTCTACCCTCTTGAATTTTCATACGGAATCTCTTCTCTCGGTTTTCCGAGGGAAGCAATCATATGAGGAAATTCTTCTAAAAGTTCTTTTGTCTGTTGGTTTTCAAACCAATGATATGCTTGCTTTGTAGAACGAAGAGTATTATAAGGCATTTTGTGAAGAATATAACAACCGCCTGAATTCAGACGGTTGGTTTTTATACAAAATTCACGCAGGAAAATTCTTGAGTTTTGGTTGAAAGAATACGGTGGAGCCAAAAGTGGCTCGACCTCAAAACAAACATTTTATGAGCTTACTAAGGCATTTATGAATGAATTCAAAGGTATTTGCATACATCCTGACCTCGTTCATTTTGTTGTTGAATTCAGCAAAAATAATGTTTAGGGTAGATGGTTTTTAGGTGTCACTACGTCACCATGTGTCACTCGGTTAATGAACTTCTCTTAAAATTACTGACAACATGACATTTAGACAACAGTCCAGGAAATAAACTTCTTCGTACATGTTTTGTCGAAACTAAACGTATATGTTTTGTCGAAACTAAACGTATATGTTTTGTCATGATTTCTTCATCGTACATGTTTTGTCGAAACTTCTTCTTCGTAATGAGCGTACATGTTTTGTCATGATTTCTTCATCGTAATGAGCGTACATGTTTTGTCAAGGTTTCATCGTACATGTTTTGTCGAAACTTCTTCTTCGTAAATGTTTTGTCAAGACTTCTTCGTACATGTTTTGTCATGATTTCTTCATCGTAATGAGCGTACATGTTTTGTCAAGGTTTCATCGTACATGTTTTGTCGAAACTTCTTCATCGTATATGTTTTGTCATGATTTCTTCGTAAATGATTTGTCGAAACTAAACGTATATGTTTTGTCATGATTTCTTCGTTTATGTTTTGTCATGATTTCTTCATCGTAATGAGTGTAAATGTTTTGTCAAGACTTCTTCATCGTAATGAGCGTAAATGACCCAAAAATAATGTTTATGTTAGAATGTTAGATCTAACACCTTTTCTAACATGTTTTCTCACCTCATGAATTTTCATGACTTCTTCATCGTAATGAGCGTACATGATTTGTCGAAACTTCTTCATCGTAATGAGCGTACATGTTTTGTCGAAACTAAACGTATATGTTTTGTCGAAACTTCATCGTACATGATTTGTCGAAACTTCTTCTTCGTACATGTTTTGTCATGATTTCTTCATCGTAATGAGTGTAAATGTTTTGCAATATGTACCAAATGCAAAGTATTTTGACAGCATGTTTTGTCGAAACTTCATCGTACATGATTTGTCGAAACTTCTTCATCGTAAATGTTTTGTCATGATTTAATCGTATATGTTTTTGTCAAACATGAACGTAAATGTTTTGTCAAACATGAACGTAAATGTTTTGTCATGATTTAATCGTAATGAGTGTAAATGACCCAAAAATAATGTTTAGGTGAAGAGATGAGATCTCACCTCTTTTCTCACCTCTTTTCTCACCTCATGAATTTTCATACGGAATCTCTTCGTAAATGTTTTGTCATGATTTCTTCATCGTAATGAGCGTAAATGTTTTGTCATGATTTCTTCATCGTACATGTTTTGTCGAAACTAAACGTATATGTTTTGTCGAAACTAAACGTATATGTTTTGTCATGATTTCTTCGTTTATGTTTTGTCGAAACTAAACGTATATGTTTTGTCGAAACTTCATCGTACATGAATTTTCATACGGAATCTCTTCGT